TGTGGTGTGTGTGTTAATAGGTCAGCCATATGCAGAGAACAGGTCCTCTAGGTCTCATGTCACAGTTTCCAGAAGAGAGACTTAGATGGACCAAGTAACCATCCCATGCTAAGAGCTGTGATGGAAGATGGGGACTATACAGTACAGGTCAAGCCTTTGGTGCAGCATCTGGGCAAGCATCTTTCTTTCGTTCTTTCTTTCTTTCGTTCTTTCGTTCTTTCGTTCTTTCGTTCTTTCTTTCTTTCGTTCTTTCTTTCTTTCGTTCTTTCTTCCTTTCTTCCTTTCTTTCGTTCTTTCTTCCTTTCTTCCTTTCGTTCTTTCGTTCTTTCTTCCTTTCTTTCGTTCTTTCGTTCTTTCGTCCTTTCTTCCTTTCTTCCGTTCTTTCTTCCTTTCTTCCTTCCTTCCTTTCTTCCTTTCTTCCTTCCTTCCTTCCTTCCTTCCTTCCTTCCTTCCTTCCTTCCTTCCTTCCTTTCCTTTCCTTTCCTTTCCTTTCCTTTCTTTCCTTTCTTTCTTTAGCTGAGCCATCCTGCCACCTGTTGGCAGCTCAGCGGCAGCTCAGCTCAGGCCGGGAATCGAACTGCTAGTTGCTCAGAGATCGCACTCTTGAGCAAGCTCTTAACCAACTGAGCCACTTGGCTGGCCCTGGGCAAGCATCTTTAGAAGGTACCCACTACATCAGCCAGTTATTGTCCATTTGACATATACTCGCACTTACAAACTGCCTACTGTGTGCTAGGCATTATTTAGGATGACAGGGGTCCAGCCATGAAGAAGACAAAGTCCCTGCCCTCATGGCCTTGGCCGTCAGCTGCCTTTACTGTATTTCCACTTGGCAACAGACAAACTTTGTGCTTGTCCATTTGCCAACTCTTGTTTCTCTTTATTCATTCCTTTTACTTTGGTTTCTTTCTAAATAGATATTTATTGAACTCCCACTGTCTGCTGACACTGTGCTTGCTTATATGGGAGAGTTGTAAGCATATACTCTCATTTTGTATGGTGGTATTTTCAAAATGCATTAACTCACAATTCATCTTATCAGCCTGAATTTGAAGCCTTAGTCATAATGTGCTTTGCTATATATTGAATAGCGTTTTCTTTAGGCAATACATTTGCAACAACTTTGTGTTATTTTGAAAATATTAATGTTTGTCTCCAAAGCAGGGGTGGGTCAGGATGAGGCCACTGAGGTAGAAGAAAGTTATGTGAGTCTTAGGAGGAAACTATAACTATTTCTACCTAAAATAAAATTCGAGGCCTGGCTCTGTTGTTACAGAAAGATGAGTTGGCCTGATTCATGATGGTAATTGGGAGATCCCTGAATTCTGTCATCACTAATTGTTTGTGTCAATATTTTTTTCACCCCAATATTTATTATCCAACATTTAAATTCTTGTTTGGAAAAACTGTTGTTTTATTCTTATTTCCACCAGTGATTCTCCTTCCCCCCTGCCCCCCAGTCTTCTCCCCTTTAAATCCCAGCTATCTAATGTTTCTTCTTTTTTCTGGCCCACACATTCAATCCAAAAATAGTGTTGCCAAGCTTTCTTTTGAGATGTTTCTCATGTTCATGTTCCCCCCACCCCCATTTAATTCATGCTTCTATCATGCTTCTGGATTGTACAATTACTTTTCTACCTGATTGCCTTATGTATAAATTCTCCCCTCATTCTGTACATCACTGCCAGGTGTACTTCTTTCCTGCTTAGAAACCATCTGTGGCTTCATATGACCTTGAAGTTCAAGCTTCTTCATCTGGCATTTAAATCATCCAGCCTCGCCACAGGCTATCTTCCTGAGCTTCCTTTCTATTGTTCTAGTTTGGACCCTTGGTGCTGTTCTTTGTTTGTTTTTTAATTGGCCCCTGACACATTTTGTCTATTGGGCCTTCCCTGGAATGTCTTCCCCTTTTCTAATACAGCGTCCCCCTACTTTAAGGCTCTTCTGTCTGTCCGTAGACTCTGTTCTGACCAGCTCCCCACACCAAGCACAACGAAGCTGCTGACCTCTGACCCTCTTCAGCACCTTCAAACCCATTCTTAGTCACTTCATCATAAACTGGATCACACTGGTAACCATGGTCATACTGGGTAACATGTTTTAAAATTTTATTTATTTATGTTTTATTAGTTTCAGGTGTACAAAACAATGTAATAGTTATACATTTCAATCCTCATGACGTGATAACTCCCCTCCCCCAATCTGTTGCCCTTCTGACATCGTATATATTTATTACAATTCCATTGACTCTAATCCCTATACTATACTCCATATCTCATGACTATATATATATAAAATTATAGTTGACATTCAGTATTATTCAGCATCAGCTTCAGGTGTACAGTGCAGTGGTCAGGCCTCTACACCGTCCATGAAGCGGTCTCCCTAACACGACATGTGACCATCTGACACCCTATAAAATATTTACAACATTATTGATTATATCCCCAAACTATCTTTCTTATCCTGTGGCAATATTGTAGTTACCATTTATGCTGTCTAATCCATTCCCCTTCTCCCTCATCCCCACCCCTCTCCCAACTAGCAATCATCAGTTTTTCCTCTAGATCGCTGAGACTATTTTTGTTTACTTTGCTCATTCATTCATTTTTTTTAGATTCCACATATAAGTGAGATCATATGGT